CTAATCGTCTCAGGAATGGTAGATGGTGAGGAATGAGATTCGCCTTTAGGGTCCATTGAAGGGTGGCCAATAGTATGATGAGGAGTGTCCGTAAGTCAATGATTGTGTCGCCTTCATTCACTGACGAACGGACCTGTACATCAGTACAAACGGATGCCCCTTGTGCGTCGTCGTTTGAACTTTGCGTCTCGTACGCTGACGGCCACTTCCCCAGGGGCATCACTTCTGCACCCACCATTGCCGAGCATCACGTGCACGACATCTCCCACCAGCCCAAGAGCTCAGCGCTATTCCGTGCCAGCTATCCCGCCCTTTGTGCGTCGTCGTTTGAACTTTGCGTCTCGTACGCTGACGGCCACTTCCCCAGGGGCATCACTTATGTGCACTCTACATGTTAAGGATTGATGATCTACGACGGACTGGATGGGCAGGGCATGCAAACAGTGATTGAATTGAAAGGACAGCTAGCGTAGTTCTTAATTTGCATTCTTGATGGACTCCTCGTGCCGATGCGCTTTCCGTTAACCCCGTGCTCACGTACAAACGGATGCTCGTCATGTCGTTTTTTAACGCATGGGGGAGGAGGGAGGGACTCAAGTGTACGATGAAGCGTCGATGATTGAATATTGGCCAATAGATGTTAAGGAGCTTTTCAGAGCCTGGAATGGACTGCTGAACAGGTTTCGTCATAGACTGGTCTTCAGCTTTTTATTCTGCCATGACCAACACAGTAACAGCATTTCTCTCAGCATGTCTGACTGACATAGAAAGGCACTTTTCCGTTGGACCATCAGTGAATACAAACAAATTGCCTGTCAGTGAGTTTGAAATTGGAAACGATGAAGGCGTCGATTACTGGAATGCAAACCCCAAAGTGTTGGGCATGGACAAATGCAAAAGTTTGTCCGAGTCGAATGTGTCAGAACGCGAGGTCATCCCGCAGTGAAGCAAGATGTAACAAAGACAAGATCCTTCGAGCCCTCTGCATCGAATATGGCATAGCTTGAAAGTTTTTTGATAGGAAACGGAAACTTAAAAGAAGAGCAGGAGAAGGAGGCGGAAACTTAAAAGAAGAGCAGGAGAAGGACCGTAGACGGCACGAGAGGTCTGTCGCTGTGAGAATCGAGAACGTGTTATAGCAGTCTCTACCAAAACAGCATTAATCGACATCAAAACCATAACGTGTTCTTCACCCTCTATCGAGCGAACGCTGTTTACTTCCGC